CTCTAACAAGCTTTTCTTCAATCAGTTCTCCAGAAAGCCTGTTATTACACCAAGTGAATTGATACCCACCATTTTGATTTCTTCCATGTCCATTTGGTTGATAAAGTTGTTAAACCCTGAGAAGTTGGTATTAGGCCTAGTGATGCCCCCAATCTTCTCTTCATTTGAGCAAATGGCATTCCAATTCCCAGCTATGAACCATTTCTCACCCCATGAAGGCTGCATTGATTCCAAAATCTACCATTGCTCAGCTCTTAGAATTCTACAAGTGCTAATATATTCAAATATTCCCCATTGAGCATCAGTGGAAGGAAGTTGATACTGAACTGCAATGAAGAATTCCTAGCTTTGGATTTGGAAAATGTTAACTGAGGAATTCCAGAGAAGAAGCAGTCCCCCACTGAGACCTTGGGGATCCACAACAACTGATCTGTCCTCAAAACCAAGCTTCCTAATAACTCTATTTACAAAGGATTTGGGTTTTTTTTGTTTCAGAGAGAAAGGTGAAAACTGGATGGTGAGACTTGATTGCCTGCCTGATTTGGGAAACTGTAGAGGGCCCACCTAGCCCTCTACAGTTCCATACCGCGGCTAGCATTGATCACTTGGGTGCCACTCTAGGCTGGCCACCCCAACCTGTTCTTGAGACTTCTTGCTTTTCTTACTAACTGTTTTTCTTTGAAGCTGGTTTTCTTGTTCCCGATCCTCCTCTTCAACAGGCTCTCTTGGTTTTTATCTCCCAGAGGGCAGTTGAAAGTGACTTTGATAGGGTCCTGTCTTTAGAGTCTGCCTTATCTTGAATTAGTTCTCCTCCAAGTTCTGGCATTGCTAGTAATAATTTTCTCGTTATCCTTATTAGAGAATTGAGCTGCCAAGCTTTGAATGGGATAAGGAATAACTTCAATCTCCATATTCATGTTGCTGATCTCATCAGGTGTGACAGTTTCTTCAGCCACAATTTTGTTAGCATTTTTAATAGGTAATGAGCACCCCTGATTGGAGGGGATGTAGTTGGTTGATTCCTCTCTCATGGAGTTGGAGGCTACTGTGTCTATTCCAAACAGATTTGATTGTTCTAGAGAGATTGGAGTGATCTAGTTTTTGGCCATATTTTGACTGGTTGAAGCTTGAGGTTGAGAAGTGTCATATGGAGTTGATGATTTTCCAGGAGTTGGGGAATATTTTGAACCTAAATTACTAACTGTAACCCAATTATTTTCTTATGCTGCTTTCATCCAGTCCCTAAATTGTCACTCCTTCACCGAGTGATTTTTAATGTCCTCAAGTCTACGGGAGCAATCTCTGTCAAGATGACCTATGAATCCACAATAATGGCATAGGTTAACCAATTTCTCATATTGGAAGCTGACTTTAACAATCTGATTTCCCAGCCTTATGGAGGCACATATGGGAAGAGCTTCTCTTAAGTCTACTTTGATCAACAGCCTCAGAATTCGACCTCCATGATTACTAGAGCTAACCAGCACCACATTTTTAACCTCTTTAAACACACTCCCTACTTTTAGGCCAACATCTGTGCTTATCCAGTTCAATGGAATATTCAAAGCTTGGACCCACATCTGCAGTTCTGAGAAACCTTCATGGTTACACGAAATTCCCTCTTGCCACTCTAGCAGGATAAGATATTGATTATCAATATCCAATTTGTTCCGCTGATAACTTTTTTAAGATCATCCTTATTCTGGAAGATGAACTGAAAGTAGCTTGAAGCCCAGATCCTTGACCTCCATTGTCTACTTGAGTTTCCATATATGATTCATGGTGCGCTGAACTCCAATCCAACTAGCTTTTCTGTTCCCAACTATCTTTCTAAAGCGACTCATTGGCATTCATCCGCGCTTATCTTGATGTCTTTGTGTTCTATATCAATGAGATTGGCTTCCTTTTCAGATAATGAGATACTTTTGAGCTTTTGAGCTAGTTCCTCATCTTTTCCAACTTCTTATGTTTCCCCCGTTAGAGAGAAGGACAAACCCAAAGTCCGATAATGAAACCCAAACCTCTAGATAGAATCCCAGGAATTCAGAAATCACCCCACTTCTATCACTAGATTAGAGAAAGAGCCAAAATCAAAGAGAAACTGAACAAGAATCGATCAGAAAAGCAAGAAAATTGGAACGCTCTCAACGAGAGAATGACGTATCTTAACACTTCATTTTATGTTATGAGCATTTGCAGAAAATATTTATTCACTTTGAATTTTTTACCATTTATTAAATTTTTAAACATTTATGTGTTATAAATAATTTTATTCCATAAAAATAAATAGATTTAAAAAAAACCGTGGAGTAAGTTCTGGCTTCCGACTCCTCTGCCGGGGATGGTAGCTTAGCCTGGACTATTTCAACAAGTCTTTCATCTTTATCTGAGACTTTCGAGTTCCACAAGGGTTAGCATCTGTCAATCTGTTAAAGTGACATGCGCAGATTCAAATCCTGCCGCTGACTGTTGGAAGGCGTACCCGCTGATCCATCAACAACCGAGTCCTTGGACCGGTAACACTGGGTCCTTCCGCTTGCTTTTGATCATAAGACATAGGAAGCGTGACAGTTTATTGAAACTCGGGAATTTGGTCATAATCCTATCTTCTCGGAGAAAGTAGAGCACTCGCTTCGACAGTTGTGATTGCGCTTTTTTATGAGGGGCCTGGAATACCACCTTTAAGAGAGAAAGTTCCTTGCCGAAAGCAATCCAAGGCTCTCTCTTCCTTCCATTCTAGTTACCCCACAAAGAGTTAGATCTGCTCACTAAGCTAGTAGTTAGTTGCTACATTCCATTCGGCGAGGAATTCCCCATCTCCCGCTTCCTTTTGGACTGACTTTGCTTTCCTTTTTCCCGGCCTCCAAGTTACCAAGAAAGAGGGGGCAAAGTGCCAAGCAAGGAAATTTGATGCCCCTATGTGTGGGCCAACCAAGTTGACTGAATGGGGTTACAATTTGAGTTGCATAGTGAGTGAGCATATAATGTCTTACCTTTGATGGATCAATCGATAATTGAAGCTAAATATTAATTTTAATATTAGAAATACTTTATTCCTTTATAAATATTATGTAGTCCAAATAATCAAAGCAATGATACTTTTATGAAAAGTGTTGAATAATATATGATCCATCTATACCTTTATCTTATTAACATTTATGTGAACAAAATATTATATTTATAATACAACTTTAATATTATTTTTTCGTACGTCGAATAGTCCACTTTAGAGAGATAGATTTAATCAATTTATAACAAGAAATCCGAAATACAAATAATCAGATGCAAAAATAAAATACAATAAGATGAACCGAATTTATTAATTGAAATCTACATAATTATTGCTAAAATATACCCCTCACTTACCAATAAATTTAAAAATGGTAGCAATGTAATATTGAAAAAGGAAATTTGGTCAACTTGAGTTGAAAAATTATTACAGTAAGCAAAATATTGTTGCTAACCATAGTTAAAACTAACTATAGTTAGGGTTAAACCAAATTATTTATGTATAAAACATGAGATAAAATCACTCTATTCAACAACATTCACCACCTTTTTTTTCCCCCAATTTCATACTAATTAAATTGTTAAGCATTTTTCAGATTTTTCATTTCATTTCCTTTGGAGTGTTCTATCTCCCTCATTTCAGCTTGGTGAGCAAAGGTTCTGATTAAAACACCAAATTTATTTATTTTAAATTCTTAATTTTTTTATCTCACCTTTTAAATTATTATTATTATTATTATTATTATTATTATTATTATTATTATTATTATTAATATTATTATTATTATTATTATTATTATTATTATAATTATTATTATATATTCAGGAAGTTTATTTTTTTTGCATTGATTTTTAAAATCATGAAATTAATAACTCTTACTTTTTCCTTTAATTCTTTAATTATACAGATTTGTTGGTAGCTCTCTGAGTTTTGGAATTTGAGGTATGTTTCTGATTATCTGACTTATAACTGCTTTTTGGATTAATTGTTTTGTGCTCATTATTTGTTTATTGAATTAATGTGATATGATTTCTGCTTTTAATTTTTGTCTCTATTTTTCTTTGTTTCTATTTTCTCTGCTATTTGATGCTTAAGTAATCATTCAAAGCTCTTTTACTGTTTCATATCCATGTAATGGTTTTAGTTAACCAAAACGTTCATTTTTGGCGGGTAAATTTTTAATCGGTCCTGAATCGATCACCATTATAAGCATCCGTTGAGAAAAAAAGGTTACCGTTGAAAAAACGGTTAGGATGGCCGTTTTTTAACGGTTTGGTTGTTGAGATCATGTACGAGGGCAGGTCACTTACGGTTTTACAGCTTGTGACCAGGTGTTTCGGGACGAGCTGGCATAGTACAGCCATGTATAATTATTATGAGAAGCTTATATAGAAATGTAAGAGATGAAGAAGTAAAGAGTAGTTGAGTAATAATCGACATGTTCCGGTTTTGGATACTCGTTTCGCCTTTTCCAAATTCGGCCGAATGTTATCTCATTAACTGACATTAAACTTTTGTATCTTGTTGTTAAATATAGTAAAATCATCTGAGTCATATTTCATCTTTAGCTTTCGAATTTGTTTTAGTATTAACGTGCCGCGAATAGTATATAAGATACTAGCAAAGCTTCTTTAGGCAGGATTTTTGAAATTCGCCTCTGAATATTGGATCGAATGGGTTCAACTATTCGATTTCGCGTTGGTAACTCGAACTTCTTCTATTTGTTTGATTGTTTTGTTCAACATTCTTCAGTGCTAAAGCATGCATGGTACATTCATGATCTCTAGAGTCTGTAAATAATGATGTTTATAGATGTGCATTTCGTTTAACACATTTTCTCAAAAATAAATTGAGTTCTGTAATATATCAATGCATAAATTTAGATTTGTTCACAAATTGATACTATATTATTTTTGAATGTTGAAATCATAAGGCCCTGATTTGTTTTTCCTCTCTCCCAAAAATTTTCTTAAAAAAAAAAAGAAAAGAAATGGATTGCAACAAAGAAGAGGCTGCACGCGCGAAATCAATCTCCGAGTCGAAGCTAGAGCAGAGGGACTTTGTAGGTGCCCTGAAATTCGCGCAGAAAGCCCAAAGCCTCGACCCGAGCCTCCACGGCATCTCTCAGATGCTAACCACCCTCGACGTGCTCGTCTCCAGCGAGCGTACCATCAACGGCGAGGTCGACTGGTACTCTATCCTCCGAGTGGACCCCACAGCCGACGAAAACGACATCAAGAGGCAGTACAAGCGCCTGGCCCTCGTCCTCCACCCGGACAAGAACCCTTCCGCCTGTGCCGCCGACGCCTTCAAGCTCGTCTCCGAGGCCAAGAACCTGCTCCTCGACGCGGAACGCAGGTGGGCCCACGACCTCATCACCAGCCGTGGGCCCCCCAACGAGCCTCCTCCGGAGCCCGAGAGGAATTTTGGCCGGCCCACATCCTCCGAGACGGCTGCACCGCCCCCACCGGAGGAGGATGTGTTCTGGACCTTCTGCCACCACTGCGGGTTGCAGTTCGAGTACCTAAAGATATTCCATTGCACGATGCTCGTGTGCGTCAACTGTCACGGGACGTTCATGTCATTCGAGATCCAGCGGTCGAGGTCGCACACGCCACGTCCCTGGGAGGGCGGGGGCTTCCCGGCTGCGTGCCACACGGGCGTCTACTCTTTTGCTTACGCCATGTATCGACGACGGGGCCCGCTTTTCGGGACCAACGGGAATTAGATATAATGTTTTTCCGTAATAGATAATTTGTATTGGTGAAGTATGTTTCATGAAGCAAGACTATTATTGTTAATTGTTCTTGTCAGGGTAATGTAGTATTATGATATGCAATCATAGACAGGATGGTTAGTTATGTTGTTTTTCATTGTTCTGACAGTTTTAGAGTCATTGGTTCAGTCGATTCTTCTCATTCATTCTTTCCACAATTCAATTTAGAAAAATGATGCCATTACATAATAAATGTATATAAAAATGAACATAACATTCGTGAGATTTACTTGATTTTTTATTTTTTTGTTAAGACTCTCTCAATGTAAGTGTTATGTATCCATTATTATATAGCTATAGCATTTTTTTTTTTTCAATTTAATGAGATTCAGGTTGTAATAAAGTGTATTGATTACGTCTGTATTTATAAAATGGCATCCACTAATTACCACCTCATAAATACAAAAATTTTCAACATCCAAATTAGACATTAAATCCAGGTCAACATTGCAAATGATTCACCATCTTTTCATTTTACATGTCATTTTTTTAGTGACAATTTAAGGTACTTTTTTTTTTCCTTGTCAAACAATAATTATATTAATAAGTGAAAACTCAACCTGAGTATATTCAAAGTGTCAAATCATACTACTGGAACTAGAACTAAGTCTGGACCAACCCTCATTCGAATTAGACAGACAACCAAGGGGTAGTTACAGCCGCACAACAAAAAGAGCTCCAAAAAGGAGACTAACCAACTCCACTAAAGAGCAGTGTTCTAAAAATCGGCCTAGGCGGCCGCCTAGGCGCCTACGATTTGGTCGAGTCGGTGGTAAAAATCGGTCAGGCGGGCTCGGCCCCGCCTAGGCGGCTTCGGCGGCTCTTGGCGGTCTCAGCGGCTAGGCGGATGCGGCGGCTTTATCGGGTTTAGGCGGCAGTAGGCGAGCTAGGCGGAACGATGGCGGAGCTCGGCGTTTTAAGTAACAGGTCATTTTTTTTTTTTGTTTTTTTAGTTTATTACAAAACGACGTCGTTTTATAATTGAGGCAAAAGTTTAAAGTTAAAAAAAATATTCAATTGCCCTGGGCTTGGACCAAATTGAAGCAGAACGACCAACAGAGAACAAAAAATAAACTCACAGACACTAACCCCGTTCACGACTTTCTTCTTTAGGCGGACCCCACTCGCTGTCGGACGTGACTCGCCGTCGGACGTGGCTCTCTGCCGGAGTTGACCCTCCCTCTTGTCACTCATGCAGGGACGAAATTAAAAAGATATATATTTGTATGGGATTCTTGGACATTATGTTAGTTCAATTAATTGTCATTTATACATTACGTAATTAGGTTTTCTTAATCTTAAGATTTAATGAAATTTATTGGAATCTTGTTTTGTGAAATTTCTGAAATTTGGTGTTTGTTGGTTGAAATAATATTATTATAATGTGTAATTGCTTAAAACATAATAATGTAGACAATGTGTTCGATGAAATACCAAAGAGAATAACTTAGTAGAAATTTGATCATTTAAAAAATAGTATAAATTTATGTTCATTGTGTTCTTGGCTTCTTGTTTTGAGATTGTAGTTAGTACAATATTACTAACTTGTTGTCATGTGGTTGTTAATGTGGATTGCTAATTGCTATCATGTTTTTAATTTACATTGGATAATGAATATCAATATTCATATTGTTTGGACATTTATTATAAATTGAAGTAGTTTCATTTTTTAGGTAGTGAAAATAAATTAAAAAAAAATATTTAATATTAATTTTTAGGCCCCGCCTAGGCGCTAGGCGTTGGTCGAACGCCTAGCGGGCGCCTAGCGACTTTTAGAACACTGCTAAAGAGACTAGAAACTAGACAAAGTTGCACTGATACTATATGCAACAACAAAAGATAAAGACAACAACACACACGTGATAAACAAATAAAATAAAACCTTTCCTACACTAAGCTAGCACACCACACTGACGCCCGAAGCGACACACGAGCCACACCCTTCAGCACAAAATCTCAAGAGAGCTGCAAATTCGAATTCTAGAGCCAAAAACTGCGGTCGCCCGAACCACCTAAACAGATCTGGTGATGAGTCAATTCTCAACCCAGATCTGTACTCCTAAGGATTTCAACACCAGAAAGGGGAAGCGACCCGATTAGAAACACCAGTGATCCGCCCCCGATGCCTCCATGACCGAGAAAGGAAAGCCTATGACACCCCCAACCAAGGCCGGAGGGAGAGGTGGCGCACCATCTAGCGCCTCGGACCCACACAGCTTCAAAAGGGATGACATAGAAAACCTTCATCCCCAACCCGGCCATGGCCGGACCGGGGAACACCGCGACAAGCTGACTAGA